ATGTGCAGAGGAGGGATAGTGGTTATATTGGTAGAAGGATGTTGGAGATGGAGCTGCCAGGCAAGAGGTCAAGAGGAAGGCCAAAGAGGAGATATATGGATGTGCTAAAAGAGGACATGAAGTTAGTTGGGGTGAGAGTAGAGGATGCCGATAGAGTTAGGTGGAAACAGATGATTCGCTGTGGCGACCCCTAACAGGAACAGCTGAAAGAAGAAGAAGAAGAAGAAGAAGAAGATTTCCATTTTAATCACAGGGTTTTATTATTGGTGCAGATGAACTGGAATTAGTTTCTATGACTTTATTTGCACATAGGACAATATTAATATGTTATATCGCTGCTCTGTCTGACCATGGCAGATCATCACAATGCTGCCCATGGTGGTGTTCTTTCAGAGTGTATTAAAATGTTGGTCTCATGGGGTGCCCCTTAGCTGAGTGGTTATGGCACAGGTCACCACAGACCCCGGGCAGCACACTGCATGTGGAACATCAGCGTTGACTATGATTGCCGTCATTTCTCACAGGTCTGTCTCCCCTGTTTCCTGTCCACTTGTCTGTGACCTACTATACAATAAGAGCTAAAAGCCCCAAAAAATAACTTTAAAAAATGTTGGTCTTAGCTCGGCAGAAAGCAGACTTCTGCAACTATGAAAATACCTTGGAAAATGTAACCCACTGCTGAAAATATGCAATTACAATTTCTGAGTGCTGGGGTTATAAATGGGCCTAAAACAAACCCTGCAATGCTCTCAAACTGTGCTGAATTTGTGCATTATAAGGTGCCAGAATATTCCTTGATGATGGACCTGCTATGTCAGCGTAGAGAGGCAAAACATTCCTCGGTGACCAGTGCATTTTTAACAGTTTCCACATTAAGGGAGCAGCTTAGAGGCAAAAACATCATTTGTTGTGTGATTGTAGTGACATGTACTGCATATGCAAGGGTGGGTTTTAAAGGTTGAGAGTGAGTAATGCTCAGTACATTAGGACTGTGAGGTGTAGCCTTCACCTGTTATTAGGGGACTTTCTCCGCTTCATATTACCATTATATTCAGAATATTACAGCAAACCAGAGACTATACTGTATAATGCAGCAAGACTAAATAAACATGTTCTTACATTCAATTATTTAAAACAGCCCATAATGCACAGTGCAATTTGCCTGTCTTTTTCTCATTTGCTTCCTTCATGTCGCCAACGTTACACTGACTGTGCACCCAGTGTGACCAGCGCAGGCTGGATACGTTGTGACGTAACCAGCCTGACTGCCTCTTTATACTGCATTTAATTTTCCTCATTTTAGTCCATCATACTGTTGTAAAAGCCTGGTTGTAGAAAAAGTATTTGACTTTGGACTTTATAATGTAAATGTGGTGCCAGGTTTGTCAGGATCAGTGCCAGATCCAACTGGTTCTGGCACAAAGTGAACCCTGCTCTCATACCCATGTGGATACAAGATCTGTATAAGGCCTGACACTTGGTTTTAGTACTGAGTCATGACTGAATTTAAAATTTCAGAATTAAAAACAACACACACTTATTTAATGTGCGTGTGTCTGTGTGTGTGTGTGTGTGTGTGTGTGTGTGTGTGTGGTGCCTCACAAACTGAGAGTATTTGCCCTGCTTATTGTTGGGATGCTTTGTGGGCGGCGTGGAGGGGAGCATAATTAAAATAGTTTCTGAGGGAAACAGCACACCACATCTGAGGTTCCACCCTCTTCCAGCACTTAACCACATGAATAGCATCTCACTTAGAAATGGTCACCAGAACAACCTCTGATACACACAGCCCGGCTGATGTTTTGGTGTGTTGTCTGACTTGTGAGGGGTGTCTGAGGCATAATGTGCACACATTTGTAATTAAAAGAGCCGCCCTTTTCTGATCATCGAGGTAAATAAAGTGACACAGGCAGCTAGCTGGGTGATGTATGGGAGGGGAAGACAAATTAACCGTCGACTCTCTGGGGGATTCTCAGCAGAGGCCTTCATAGCAGCAGTGGAGCAACGCCAAAGGGCAGAGAGATTTGTAGATGATGGTGCTAATTACCAGAATGCAAACCATAATGCGACCAAGATGGAAGCAATTTAGGCAGTAGTCATTTAGCCTGCTGCTCTTCCGCCCACCGGCTGCTGCCTAGCCAGAGCTGGGGCATTAGGATTGGAAAAGTCTGGGACAATCATTTGCTTGGGTGGAGGATAAAGAATTACGCACAGGAGAGGGGCTCTATGGTGTGAGGAGCACATGGAGAGAGCACTGTGACAGAACATTCATTTATCTTTTTTCTTAATCTAATTTTAACAGAAATGACCCATGGCGTTAGCAGGCCATGCTTACAGGTCAGGAGGAGGAAGGAGTGCATACATATTTCAGAACAAAGACGACTCTGAACTTTTAACTGCTGAGAGAAGAAGTTGGGTTTGATTCCCACGTCTGGCTGCTTGTCACCGCCTCTGGAAGAACTGTGTGGACCTCGGTGCCACATGCAGGACTGTGCTGCCAACAGGTACCTCTGATTCACCAGAAAAGACAAATTACAAACTTGATATTAACCTCAGCCTGTCATAATGACTTACAGTGCAGGCCTGACTAGCACCTGTTAGATTGGGATGAATGTGGACCACCCATAAGTCAAAAAGTGCTTACCGGTTTTTGTTACTTAAAAATGTTTCAAATATCAAAAAACTGAGAAATAGCATTATGTAAGTGTCCAAACTAAATCCTCCAGGGAGGGGGGATGCATCAGATTATGTTACCTAAACAGTGACATCAAATCAATTGAAATAGTGTTTACTTAATGTATAGTAACCATTCAGCCACATCCTTGCTCCTCACCTGTTGTTGTGCCTGACGCAGGCTCTGCCCACCTGTATAATTTGGGATGTCTAATTGCTCTTTTAGGATATTTCAGGAGAGGAGTTCAGAAGAGAGAGCTGTTCCATACTCAGCCAATGTGTAATTTTATCCACGCCGCAGCCTCTCACTTCACACGGGGCTGATACCTTTTGCCTCCCCCTTTCCTTTGTATCAATTGGTCGGACTTCAACCTATTGTCGCCACAAGCTTCTTTTATATCTGCGCTCAGTCTGAGCTGAGGCTCTCAGTCAGATCCACAGGAGGGACTTCAGCAGCAGCACAGACAAGGAGCGGAGCCCATCTCGTTGGCGGCTGTGCTGTCAGCTGTGTCTGTTGGGCTCGGATGTGCACGGTGCTGGAGCTCTCCAGCGTTGGGGCCCAGACACTTTAATGGGACCCCGGGAGCCGGAAAGGGGTTATTTTCGCCACAATCGACGCTCCTCGGCCATGTCATAATGTTGATGATACCTCTGCTGGTGTTGCTGAGTTTGTTGGATCTCGTTAGTTCCAGGGCCCGCTGCGCCACTGGCCAGGCTTGCGACCCCCGGCAGCGGAGGGACGCCGGGGGACGCGGAGGAGTGTATGAACACCTCGGTGGAGCGCCGAGACGCAGGAAACTCTACTGCGCTACTAAATATCACTTACAAATCCATCCTAATGGGAAAATAGATGGATCATTGGAGGAAGACAACCCGTTAAGTAAGTATTCACCTTGTTTTTTACTCACAGGAAGGGCGCCAACACAAGCAAAACTATCACAAGGCACTCAGTGCCAGAGTGAACGTCTGAATTACAATGCTAATAAAAATGAATGAAATGAAAGTTTAAATGTCGCCCGGTGGAATGACATGAAACCACATCCATAAGGTAAACACGTGTTTGAGCTATGGGTGGCTGCGTGAAACCTGCAGTATTCCCTTTATTTTAACATGGTTTTATTATTGGTTTGTGTTAGTGGTCTACATTTTAGTAGACCTCCATTATAATCTGTAAAGTTCTATCGGAGTTTTAGGCGAATGACTTTTCCCCGTCTGTGTGTGTGTGTGTGTGTGTGTTTGTGAAATCATGTAATTGCAAAGCTGACATGCAGGTTAATCTCTATTAGAAGTATCAGTCAAAGTATTAACATCCAGGCGGGACAAAGGCGCTGTCCTAACGGATGTATTTATCTAATCAGCGACCATTAGAGCCTGTCTGCAGGCTGAACAGGCCATTGACTAATCAAGCACTGATTAAAAAAGCCAATAAACACGCTGAGTGGAGGCTAAGAGGTGGGAAACACAAGCGGAAATTAATTCATTTACTCTGTCTGACAAAAGTTTATCTTAGGGTCAATTGCTTTTATGTTTTAGATTTGAATTCAACTCTCCAAGAATTCTAAATGTGTGTAAAAATAGAAGCATTGTTCATCATAATAAATCTTATATTAAACATCTTCTAAATGCTTTCATATAACATTGTTTCTGTTCTGCAGGCATCATGGAAATCACAGCAGTTGATGTGGGCGTTGTGGCCATAAAAGGGCTTTTCTCTGGCAGATATCTGGCCATGAATGATAAAGGAAGGCTGTATGCCTCGGTGGGTACACATTTCACCTCCTCTTCTAATGCATTGCCTCCTCTTCAGTATATAGGCTACAGCTTCTGTTCGATGCTGGTGCAGAGGCTGCAGGTTAAAGACCTCAAATAAGATGAGGCATAAAGATTTAGTGTCATGCTGGAATGCTCACCTGCTGTGGATTGACTAGTGCAAATTTTATGGCTGATTTGGTGTGTGACAGCAGTGGCACTGGGAGTGCACAGACTACAGAGCTGAACAGAAACACTTTTGCTTTGTGAATCAAAAACATATGGCAGGCTGCATGACAAATGGGGCTCACTGTTTACTTCCTTCTCATCTCCCCAGGAAGTTTTCAGCAAAGAGTGTGAGTTTGTGGAAAGGATCCATGAGTTGGGGTACAACACGTATGCATCCCGTCACCACTCCACCGAGCAGCCGCTGCTGCCTGGGGGCGGCGGCAGCAGTAAGCGGAGGGCCAGCGCCAAGCGTCAGTGGTATGTTTCCATCAACGGTAAAGGCCGGCCACGGAGAGGCTTTAAAGCCAGGAGCACAGACAAAGCCTCACTCTTCCTGCCTCGAGTGCTGGGCAACAAGGATTATGAGATGGTAAGGCGGCTGAGGGACAGTCAGAGCACACACCACCACATGCACCAGCACGGAAGTCGCGGTGAGCGCAGAAGACGTAGGCATCGTGCCCGGAAAGGCCGAGCCCGACGGCCAGAAGACTGAGCAGAAAAGGGGCTGTCCCAGCCATCCTGTGACGAGGGGTCAGCTCCCCCCGACCTCGGCACATACTGTAGCTTGATTGCAGAGGAGGATGTGAGGAAACAGATTGGATGCTGCCTTTTGGATTAGTTTTGCTTTTGGATGCCAGTCTGTAGATGGACAAAAGACCTAGGGCCAAGTGTTGGGCCACATTCGTCCACTTCAGGAGACTCTCCCACTCACACGGCTGTATAACCGTCGATGACTTCTTCAGAATGCTACTGTATTGTAAACAAATGTATTAATATAGATGAAAACTTCCATCTAGTTTTGTAAAGAGTTCTACTTTTGTACAAGCAACCATTATTACCATAAACTTCACACAGAGCTAAAAACCCTTTTAAATATGGTTCTGTTGTAAATAGGCTAGCCTACAGTGTGCGTGTCCAGCTGTGGCTTTTCACTGGTCAGAAGGCTGAAACAGCAAATAGAATATAATGCGTTGCTACTCCGAAGTGCTAACAACATGACGGCTATTGAAGAGAGGACTTTACACAGCAAAGCACTTTTGTCAGATTCATAAGAAGAAGCAAAAGGAAAATCAGTGTGAGATGGGATCTGGTGTCTTTTGATATAATGTGATAATCTACTGTCTGCAAACTGAAAGAAGTGCTTTGTATATTTTACTAATGATATGAATATTTATTTGGTCCCTGTGTTTTAAGTTATTGATAAGACTATTTCTGCATTTTATCAATGTTGCTATTTGTTTCATAGTTTTCACTCACCATCCACTTCCAACATAAAACACTGTGGTACTGACACAAGGAAGCAACTGGCTGATTTATTATGAGTTTTCCATTTGTTTTCACAGACAAACTTTGTCTCAACCGTTTTTTGTCCTTTAGGATAACATTTTTGTGGTTTAGTGGAGAGGTAAATGCAGCTGTATACACCAGCTGTGGACACAATTGGGAAGCTAAACCTGTGTGTGTGTGTTTGTCATATTGTTTTCTTTCAGAACTCCTAACATTTGATCTCAATGGAATTATGAGCACCTATGTTAAAATACTGAAAGATGTTGTGGCATCACAAACACGGACCTGAGCGACCAAACCTGACCCAGACAAACAGCAACAAACACCACCGGTTCAGAAACATTTTGCTCTCACGGTGAAACCATTTCTAAATCAGAAAGCTGTTTTTGTCAATTTTTTTTCTCTGTAAAACAATTTTGAATTGATGAAGTGTCTTTCTATATTTATTTCATCTGTTCTGCACCACCAGAAACACACAACAGGACCTTTTATATTCAACATCAAGTGTAAAGCAGCAGGAATCATACAGAACTACTGTTTTTAACAGACCTGCTTCAAATCAGATTCACATTTCATTTCACTGTAAAATAAGAGCTGCGATACTGCCAGTACACTGTATATGGACACACCTAAGGATTATTTGATAGTTTCTTACTGTATGTACCTTTTACTACTACACCACACATAAAGTCTATAATGATAAGACAGAGAACAACCTGCTGTGTAGAGCCGTTAGCCTGGTTTATTACAGCTTGTTGAGTTGTTCAAAATGTATGTGTTCCTTCTCTCTTTGTCTCTCCTGCTCTACATGTCACATTATCCATCTCTCTCCCTGCTGCAGCTCATTTGTTGGAGTAGCCACCTGTTAGTGCAACATTTCTGAGCAGAAGCTACAAAGTTCACCACAAGCAGCCTTCTGACTTCTTTGGATGGTCAGGTTTTGCCTTGCCTCACTCCCATCTATAGGTAGCTGCATATAAAGCCTTGTCATTCTATACCTGCAGGCCGGGGAGGCTTCCTGGCTCGGACAATAGCTCCTCCCAAGGGGGGCCTGGGAAGCGATGCCGCCTGAGACCTTTGGGGGTTTTTTTTTTGAAATGCCGACCAAAAGCCACAGAGTCGATAAACAAGGCAGGCCCTCCTGAAAGCAGAAACTGTGTTGTATAAAGAACAGCACCTTGCTATGGCTTGTTATGAATGAAAAACTCTAATATTACTCAACCGGAATGTGGGACTTCAGAGAGGTTAGAGCCTTTTGTGGCTCCACTCTCTGGCTGTTTTATTTAGCATCATTTATCCTCCAAATCTCTTCCTACACACCCTCTCTATCCATGACATCCCACTCACAGATTTATAGTGCTAAAATTAGACAACTGACAAATAAAAATGACATTCTGAGGGGTGCATGGGTCAGGATTCCTCAGAAAATATTTTATTGTGAATAACATAGTATCATTTTAAGGCCACCATTTAGAGAAAGAGGAAACACAGAGGATCCTTTTCACCACAGTTTCAGAAAGCTGGGTATCAGTGGGAAACATTGTACTAAAAGTTAACTTACAGCCTCTTATTGGGTGTGACTAAAGGCCTTTTATATAATAAATAAGTCATTTACCAATGCTTTATACATCAGCTATGAACCATTATTCAGAACACATTTTGGGTGGCCACTTTGATCAAAATGGCTTTGGATCGACTGGACTGTGTGACTACATATGGTCTGCACTGGAATTCATTAACAGCTATTATACAAAATAATCTCCAGTCATGCTTTGAACCTAAAACATGTTCTTATTAAAGGCTTATAATAAATCAGAACAAGAATCAGCTTTATTGGCCAGGTGTGTTGGACGCACGAGGAATTTGACTCTGGTACAGCAGCTCTCAATGTGCATGTACATATCCTTATGAACGGCAATAGCAAAGGGCAAGTAAACAATATAAGGCTGAGAGAACAGAATGTAAAGAAGTAACGTGCAAACAAACAGAGGAATGTGCATTAGGAAACAAATCTATGAAGCATTTGCAAATGAGTTGTAAACCACTAATACAGGTGCCTTGTTAAAAAGTTTTCTTGTTTATATTCACACACCTTTCATAGAAAGGATTGGAAAATGTTTGTTATGCAGTTGTCATCATCATCATCATCACCACCATCTTCGATGTGTATAAAACAGATAAATGGTTCCTGGAGGAACATATGTATCTGCATTTTTCTTGGCAAATGTAGTGGAATGGGATTTTTTTTTTTTTATGAACTCAAAGTCATAAAAAGGTTTCTTCTCCAAAGGCACGACTAAGAACTGAGCACAGTTCATTTATATACTTATGTGATTATACATTGGCAAAAAGAATCTTCATGTACAACATGACATTGTTCAAAGATGGTAAATAGCTGTACAAAATTAGAAGCTACTTTAGAAAAGTACACAAGTTGCCAGTAACTTGTAATGAACATGTTTTACAAGAGCATTTTGGTGAGCAGACATCAGCAGATCAAACGGTACTACAGAAGTGGAATCAGGTTTTACAAGGACCCTTCACTGCATTACATGAGCGTTCACTTGTGAACAGTGAACCCTAGAGGCAGATAGTTGTCACTGCTGGCGCCATGCCATGTGTGAATGAACGTCTAACCAAAGTGAAGGTTCAGCTCACATTCAAATCTTCATTTTGTTCAACAATAAAATGAACAGATTTAGTTTTCAAAAGCTCAGTTAACGAATATCACAGTAAACCAATAATCCTGACCCATCGCTGAACACAGCTACACATAAATGTTTACTCAGAACTGTCCTTTACTTTACATTTACAGCATCAATCTGTCAGGTGCCAACAATATCGGAGGAAATGTCGCTCCTCCTGTCTGAATATACAGAACATGGCAATGGGTATACACATCCACTAGAGGTAGGGCACCTTTTCACATGTGACATGAATCCAGATCTGAGCAGAAACAGCTTTAGTATCTTATACATTAGGTAGATCGATGTTTTTTTGTTTGTTCATTTTGTTTTGTTTTCAGTAGACTGCAAAAATGCAAGGAATAAGGGAAAACTGAGGAAATGAGTAAGGGACTTAATTCTGGCCCTACAATAACTGAATGATGTTTTAATGAGCACAACATGTTGAAGATCAACTCAGTTTGTACACTATGTTTTTGAAAAACTAGTTTCTGTCACAACTTTGAAGGCTGTTTTTTCAGTTGCGATACTTGAGGCTTACAGTGCATAGGTTTGGAAATGATGGATAAATGAGTGAGCCAACAAATGCTTGTGTTGAATGCTGAGACATTTTAAGCTCTGAATTG